ATCAGTAGTGACTACGCAAAAGAAACAGTGCAAGTAAGAAAACTATTATGGGGAAGCGCGGCATCGAACAGAGCAAAGGGCGATAAGGTATCACTTGTACATGACAAGCTGAAGATTAATGGTGAAACATTTGTGTGGGATCTTAATCTAAACCAGCGACGTCGTGTTCAACCCAGTGGGGCAGCCTACAACTGACGCGATGCAAGGGCGGCTGAAAACGATCCACCTGAATTGAGAGTTATTAGCCTAAACGCCCGAAGTGTGGTTAATAAAATTGAAGCTCTAGAAATTTTGTTTCTTGCCCACAGTCCCCATGTGGTAGCTATTACAGAAACATGGCTAAACTCCAATATAGAAAGCGATTGCATTGTTCCCCCCAATTATAAATTAGTTAGGTGTGATAGAACTACCAGAGGCGGGGGTGTGGCTATTTGTTTGAGAAATGACATTGATTGTGTGGGGCTTGAATGCGACTGTGATGAAACTGTTTGGTGCCGAATTTCTTATAACAGTCGAACGTTCCTTTTCGGAGTGGTTTATAGAACGCCAAACGCACCAGTAGAATTTTTGGAGGGCTTGAATGAGTTTTTGTGCAAATATGTAAATGATACTACCAAGGTAATCATGACTGGAGATTTTAATTTGCCCCATGTAAATTGGGCTCTTTTGACAGCTGGTGGCATTGATATCCTTAACGGAGAAAAAATAATTGACATAACGTTTAATCACAACCTTACCCAAATAGTCAAGGAATACACTAGAATCACCGACCAGTCTCAGTCAACATTAGACCTTGTCTTTATTACAGAAAACATATCGGATTACGAGATTTCAATTGTAGAAGGAATTTCAGACCATAAAATGATTTTGTTTACGATTCCACTACCACGACAGGGTCATTGCAGGGTTGCTAGGCCCCTAATTGTTAAAGACTTTACTCGCGCAGACGATACAAGTATTATAGATTACTTAGAGACATCCTTAGAAACATTAGACCAACTAAGCATTACAAGTACAGTAGATGATCTGTGGAATTTTTTTAAAACTACTACTTCCTTTTGTATTAATTCCTTTGTTCCCAATAAAACTAAAAAGACATATCGCACAAATCCCTGGATAACGCGTGAAATTATCCACCTAAAACGTCAAATCAAAAGGCACAGAAAAGGTTTTAAAGAACATATAAATGCTCTAAAAATTAAATTAAAAACATCACTCAAACAAGCCAAAGAGAGATTCTTTTCAGTGACTCTTCACAACTTTATAAAAACTGCCCCTCAGAAATTCTGGCGTTTCTTAAGAGGAAAGAGGGAAATGATCGAGCAGATTGTTGAAAACGATGTGGTCATTACTGACAGTGCAGAAATGGCAGATCGGTTTAACGTGTTTTTCCAATCAGTCTTTTCACAGCCCACGACGTACAAAATCTCGATGAGGCCTTTCATTCTGATATTGAAACGAGTACGCCAGAAATAGAGATAAGCCAGTCCGGAATATTTGCTAAGCTATTGTCACTGGATACAAAAAAATCAACAGGCCCGGATAAAATACCGAATGAATTCTTAAAGCGATATGCAGAGTGGCTATCTTTTTATTTAAAAATTATCTTCGACAAATCATTACAAACGGAGTCACTCCCGCAAGATTGGCTATCCGCACGTGTCGTCCCTGTGTTTAAAGGAGGAAGCCGCTTTACGATAGAAAACTACCGGCCTATTTCATTGACCAGCGTTTGCTGTAAAGTGATGGAGCACGTCATTTCAAAATATATATTTACTTTTTTAGAGGAGCGAAAGACGTTATACTCTCATCAGCATGGCTTTCGAAATGGTTTGTCAACCGTAACGCAGCTTGTTGAAACGTTTCATGATTTTTCTTTATCTGTAAATAATAAGGAACAGATCGATGTAATTTGTATAGACTTTTCAAAAGCATTCGACCGCATACCTCACAAAAAATTATTATTCAAATTAAAAAAGATAGGGTTGTGTGATAAAATCGTTAACTGGATAGAAGCATACCTGTCAAATCGGAGTCAAAAAGTTGAGATAAATGGAAACATATCTCCACCTCTATCTGTAACCTCAGGAGTCCCGCAGGGCTCAGTCTTAGGTCCATTATTGTTTTTGATATATATAAATGATATAGCTACGCATATTGCGGAACCTGTAAAACTAAAACTTTTTGCAGATGATTGCCTTCTTTACTCTGTCATAAACAATACTAATGATCAATTAGCTCTTAATAGGAACCTGGAAAATCTAAGGCAATGGTGTGAGGACTGGCAAATGCAAATAAATTTTCGTAAGTCGACATATATCCATATAACGAACAAAAAAAGCGTTTTGAAATTTTGTTATAATATAGGCAATGTTAATTTGAGTGTTGTAAACAGTTTTAAGTACCTTGGTGTGGTGATCTCACACGATTTGCAATGGCGCACCCATATAGATAATGTCTACTCCTCTGCCTATCGAAGTTTGTGCTTTCTTAAACGAAAGTTAAAACATGCAACTAGTAATGCCAAAATCACAGCTTATAAGACAATGATCCGTCCTATTTTAGAGTACGCCTGTATTGTATGGAGTCCAAACAAAAAAGTAGACATCAATAGACTAGAAAAAATTCAAAGGCAGGCTGCACGTTTCATTCTTAATAAATACAAACGAACAGACTCTGTGACTGAAATGCTTAGCCAGTGTGGACTTCAATCATTAGAAACTAGACGGAGAATAGCGCGGCTAAAGTTCTTATTTGCGTTGTATAACAATCACTTAAACATTGAACCTGAACTATATTTAAATGAAACACATAAACGATCGCGCAGATTAAATCACAATAAAACAATCCAACCGTATAATAGTAGGATAGACGTTTTTAAATATTCATTCTTTGTGCAAACAATTGAAGACTGGAACCAACTTCCAGATTATGTCATTAATTCTGCAAATATGTCCCAATTCGAGTCTTCTTTAGAAAAGATATTTACCCAGCAATAAATAAGAAGGGCGTTTTTCCTTTTTTTCTATTTCACTTCTTTTTACAAAGTGTGGCGATATGATTCACGTTGTCTTCAATTAAAAATTGTATAACAGTCTTCTATTACGTACATATGTATAGAGTTCAAATTTTTGATATGACTATATATATTGTTGTTACCTCTCCTGTAATAGCCTTCAAGTGAAGGCTGACAGTATTCTTAAATAAAAATAAATAATAAATAAAATAAAATAATTATGGCACATGGCATGCTCGTGGCATTGGGAACGGGGGCTCGGAGACGCGGGATACCTGTGGGCCACATCCCAGAGAGTCGTGGGTCACGCGTTTAAGAACCTTGTTATAAAGAACTAAAAGGGCATATTTAAGTATTCCGAAAGAAGAAAGATTAAAAACTACCTGTACTTTACTTTGAAAGTACATAGTATTTATTGTACTTTATTTCAAATACATTGCCCCGAGGTTTGTACTTAAAATGCATAACCTATCAAATACTTTGTATTTTACTTGAAGTACATTTTAGGTGTGCTTTACCCAACACTGGTGCTCACACAGTGCTTGTGTTAATTCCATGGGCTGCATTTGAATATCGTTCTTATGAGATAATCCAGCGTCAACGAGAACGACACAATTCCCGTTACTACATCATTATGTTTGGCGAGGGGGAAGTCGGAAGAAAAAATCCACAAGTACCGCCGAAATTACACAGCGGCAAAGACGCTTCTTCGTCAGTGGTGTTGCGGGCAAGTATACTAGGATAGCACAAGTGCTAGTATGTTTGTGTAAAACGAAAAACGTTTCAACTTAATGTCTTTCTTTTGTATGGGAGCGCTTTGGTTTAGTGTAAAACCTTGAGAAAGATTGAAAACCTAATAGAACACGAACAGCACACACACAAAAACTGTACTTTCTGCACTCTGTCCTTATATAGTTTTTTGCCCTATCGTTCCGGGATCCGTTAAATATTACTATTACTATTTGCTACTTTTGCTAATACTGCTACCTTTGCTAATACTTTTGCTTTTAATTTTGCTCTTAATTTTGATAAATATACAGTCACCCTTATACTCATATCAGCATGTAATATATTTTGGTATCTTAATAATTATTGCAGCAAAGCAACTTGCACGATAGGTTGCAAATTTTAGGCAAAGATTCGCCTCATCACCAGGCATTGCGCGTGGCCATCGCCACGCCAACTCCCCACAAGTCATCGTCGAGATGTTAGTTTGCCGAAACACAGCACTGAGAGGCTTCAGGAACTGTATTTGGATCGTCAGGTTTCGGTTCCTATCAGGCTCTTAGTAGTCGACGTGAGCATGTGGAGTTGGGTATAAAATATGACGCGTTATCGATTTCATAAATACGAATTAAAATTGAGCTATGTCTATTAAAAACAAATAAAACACGTTGAAAATATTAACTTTATGACCGGCTTGCAAGCAGAGAAAAGGCACCCGACCCTCACATTCCCTGTCACCAGACCTCCCAGAACATAAAAGGAGGCCTCTCTTTTTCTTCTCGCCATTTTCTGACCATATTCTCTTTTTTTTTCTTTTTGATTGTCTGTTTGATTTTTGCTTTGTGCAACTTTGAGGCGGGTACAATGAAAGTTTAAATGTAAACCCAGACAAAAAATAGGTTATAGGAAAATATCTGAACATCTGAGTATACATAACAAAGTTGACTGGCTACGTCTTGCCTAGGGGATTCGATGGAATGACGCATGGTCCGGCAAATATAGTAAACTGTTCTCGTACTAGCTCTGCACAGAATGAATGGAGAGCCAATAAGTACCACTTGTGTTATGGCCAAACAAAGACAAATGCTAAAATTTGTATTCAGACTTGTGGCACGCCCAAAGGATTAGTGAACGATAAATAACTTCTTGAGAAATATACAGAATAGAGCAGGTGCAAATAACTGGTACCCGCAAAAGAGAAAAAAAAGGAGCGTTAAGGCAGCGAGAACATTTTCTCCTGACTTACCAGCTTACCGCCGGGGCAAACTTCTCTTGGCAGCCGCAGCCTTTGGTCACGATCCACACATGTCACTTGGCACGATGAAGGATGACGACCACCAACATGCTGCAAAGCATTCACATATTGTCAGGAATAAGGAGGTGACGAATCAAAGAATAACCGAGGAAACTAAAACGTTTCCTCGGCGACCAAAACAAAAAGCAGACAGACGAAAACAACGTAGCGTCGCGTGCGTCGAAGTCGGCGTGACATCAGGATCGGACGCTGGGACGAGGCTGAATCCGGCCCGCCACGCGGAGCAGCTTATGTAGACGAGTGCGCTCCTGGAACACTCGGCTTAGAAGGTTCGGCGCGTAGAACATTTTAACCTCGAATGAGCAACAGGGTTCAAGAAGTTACTACAACGCGACATTACGAAAACAACAGAAAGGTTTATCTGCGGCCAGGCATCGAACCTTGGCCTTTTGTGTTGGAGGCAAGCACGATCACCGTTAGGCGAAGGGCACGCTGTTTACATGGCCAGCTGCGCTCGCAGCAATATGATGTCACAAATACATATTATATTTAAGCTATGTCCATTAAAAAAAGTAAAACACGTTTAATAGATGAATTTAATGACCGGCCCGCAAGCAGAGAAAAGGAACCCGACCCTCACATCCCTCCCCGCCAACCCTCCGAGAACATAAAAGCAGGAAATCACCTCGCGTATTCTCCTCGCAATTTTTCAACCACTATATTTCTTTTTGGATTGCCTGTTTGATTTTCTTTTTTGGTTCAGTTTGGGGTGGGTACAATGAAAGTTTAAATGTAAATCCAGACAAAAAAGGTTTCCTTTTTCTTTTCTTCTTTTGCCGTACCTTGCCTTTTTAAAACGCAAACAATTCGTTTCGCCAGCAGGAAACTCAGAAATAGCAATACGATTAACCTTGGTTAAACCAAGTCCGAAGGCGTGTTCGATTTGGGAGAAGCCCACGTTGTTTTCTTGGCTTTCTCATGAGGCTTTCTCAGGAGCGCGGCGTCCAGCGCACAAAGGGCGCTCCTCAAGGATAGCAGGTTGCGGGCAGACTGAGATTCCGCGAGGAGAACTATAAGTCCTGCAGCTTCACGTTCACTAATCTGCCTGCGCACCCTGGTTACCGCTTTTAAAGGGAACCGAAGCGGCTCTGTATTTGACTAAAAACAGCTAAATCTTCTTCATTTCGCTTCCAGGATTACCGATATCGAGATTTTTTTGTTTTTGTTTTTAGTTCGGTACACGGAGGTTGCAGAAAATCATTTTTGGAAGTACCGTGAAGCACCTCCTTACCGGAGTGTTACGGCATAAAAGGGGTTTTCGGAATCTCTGCTCCCGCTCATCTTCAGCGCATATCAAAGCTATTCACGCGTACTCTTGCTTTTTTTGAAAGAGGTCAGAAAAATTACAGGAGGATGCTTACGCTTCACCTTTAGGTGTGGAGCGCCATAGCCACAAATATTCACTCTTACTCGCATAAGTTGAACCGTGGTTGCGCCAGTGCGCAAATAGCCCCCATCCACTTCCAGTTCTGAACTAGATGTCGGATTTAGCAGTATTTGCGATATCAAATATACATGCTATCTTCTGGAAATGGTTCCTTATAGCACTGTCAGACTTATTCACTCTCATGATAAAATAATGATGAGTAAAACATTAGGAAATATATGTGATCCGGAAGTGTGTCGGGGCTACCCAATAGATGGCCCCACTGAATTTGTTGCCAAACAGTACAGGGCGAATAAACCACCGCTCGTTCCTAATCCGTGCAACCGTGTCTGCGTGGCCCATTCTACTCCCGCTTTCATCGGGTGTGGACGTGGGATGGCAGGATCCACCGGAGCAGCGATAGTGGCCCAGTTGGGCCACGTGACAGGAATAACTCTGCGTCTTCGGAAAATCAGATAATTTTCCCACCTCTGCCAAAGGCCCTACGGTGCTCAACACCGTGTTTCTTCACGCCGATGTCCGGGTACTGCCGTACCGTGTGCAAGACTTTTGCGATACTCTGAGTCAACTGGCACTGCTCCCCCAGGTTCTTACCTTGGGCGCGTACCAGATGAACCACGTCTGGACTATAACCTTCAAGCCACCCGAGGATAAGCGGAAGATCCTCGCAGCGGGCGACCTCGTCGTCAAGGGACGGCGATGTGTCGTCGTGCACCTTACGAAGTGGGACGCCCGGGCTTAGATTCATTGGCTGCTTCATTACGTTCCTGACGACGAGGTGAGGGTGGCACTTGCACCGTATGACCAGGTGATCGACGTAGGAACTGACAAGTGGCGGGTTCAAGGTGTCATGGGCTGCGGGTCGATGACACGCACGGCTGTTATCTGGCTTCCGTCAGGGCTAGGCCTGGATGCCTGACTCATCAGCTGCATATTGCCGGAGGGCCGGCTCTCGTCATGGCGTCGGGCAGACCACCGCTTTGCCTGCGATATCGACGGAGCGGGCCCATCCGTCGTGTGATTAAGATATGCCGAAGTCCGTATCCTGCAGTTACTTCAATTATTTCGCGGATCACTACATCAAGACCTACGCGGTAGTCACATGTTCGGGTAAACGAGACGCCAACGCCAAGCATGTAATGGATGAAGCGACCTCGCAGGAAGCACTGGAAAAGGCGGCCCCCACCACCGATTCACCGGAAAGCACGGGCACGAAGGTCGACCAGGCCGAGTCGGAGCACTCGCTCAACGTGGTCACTGCTTCTTCGGTCGACGCATCCACGGGAAGCCGGGAAGAGGCGCCGACCAACAAAGGCGAGACGGGGACATGAAATCAACCGCCGGCGTTGAGGAATGAAGGGCCTCAGGTAGAGACTGCGGTTCCGCCGGTTAAAGAGGTTCACACGCCAGACACCAGCGTGCTGCCTGCGAAACGCCCGCATAAAGAAGAACCGGTGTCAAGACAAGTTGACAGCGGACCGACTGTGGCGTCGTCCTTAAAATCGACCTATGTCGTCCTAGACGTCATCTTTGATATCACAATCTAGAACGTCGTCCTCGACGTTGTCTAAGGCATCGTCCTTGAGGCTGTCCTAGACGAATGTTATCGCAATTCATAGGCAACCAACAATAGTGGTTTCTGCAGAAAATTCTTATCTGCTGGCTTGCTCGCTTCAACGAGGCGCGCTCTTTCCTGTCTGATTGAAACGGCGATAGACGTGGCTCCGGCAGCAGTCATTCCAGAATCTTCGCTCGTCGCTTTTAACAACGGCCGAACTCGCGTCCTCTGAGACATGGGGAGTTCAGGCGATCGACTCTCAAGCGCCGCCCCCCCCCCCCCTTCTCATTTCTTGTGCCATTCATATTTGGTCCTGTGGAAATGTATGGAGCATAGTATTTACTCGCACAATAAACACACCCCCCCCCCCCCCCCCCCCCCCCAACGGGCATCCATATTTTGACTTTTTTTCCCCTCCCGTAATCAACGCACCTCCAATTTTCAGATCCGCGAGTCTCGAATTGCGTTCAATTTAGCAAGCCACCAAGCCAGTTTTCTTCTGCCGCAAAGCTATCAGGCCAAGTCAAGCCAAGCCAAGCCGCTCTCGTAATATGGCCGCAACTGCGTAGTCGCGGTAGTTACGGAAGTGATCAACTGTGAAACAGAGTGTCGCGCACACTCGACGAAGCTTGGGCCGAGGAATTGCCGAGCCCCGGACATTCTTCGCCTATCGGATGCATTGATGTCAACAAACAAGCCGTCGTCTGGAGTCCGCTTTCGGACAGTGATATCGTGAAAGTGCTCAGGCCTAATTTTACATACTCCGGGTAAATGCGTTTATTTAATCCGTAACAGAACGGCACAGCGATGCGCACTCTGCGCTGTAGGCTGAGAGTGCCTGGTAGCCTCCCCGTGAACGAAACCTGATCCGCGCGAGCAGGCTTGGGGGTCGGCGGTTGGACTTCGTACGAGTTCTTGTCTTTGTTAACGAAACTTGATCCATGCGAGCGGGCTTCGGCGGTCGGGGGTTACACTTCATACGAGGTCATATACGTGTGACGGCGGCGTGCATTACCGTCTTCAGGGTTCACACAGGGCGGAGGAATTCACAACACTGATCGCCGGGTTAAGTTTTTATGTATATCTTTGAACTAATAAAACACTAATGAGGCTTTGACGATACAGGGCTCACATGTCCTGCCGTGCATCTCTTGCGGGCTTGCGGTGCTCGCAGGGGTTCCGCACCAGGCCCGGCTCCTAGGCGATGTCCTTCTCCGTCTCTGACTCCATCTCTTGCGTCGTCTCGCCGGGTCCCCTCTCCAACGGCCTTGCGTCCTGGGACTCGTTCTCCAAAACCCCGCACTTTCTCGGCGTCCCGCGTGTCGGCGTCCTTCCTCCATACCGCGAGGTGCTTTTTCTCCGGCTTCCCTCGACGCGACCCCGCCAGGAACTGTCACCCTATTCCGCAGTTCATCCTCACCCTCTCCCCGATTCCACGTAGTCGACCCGAAAGCCCCGGTCTGCCATTGGGTCCGTCCTGTCTGCTAGAGCGTCTGGACCCGCACCTGCAAGCCGTTACGGGACCGAGGAGAAACTGGAAATCCGACGCCTCCACTCCGCGACAACTTTTCTTGGCAATGCAGTGGAAGGTACAGGCCCGCGTTCCCTCTCCCATTTTGAGTGTGCGGGGGCTCTTTTCCTCTACCCGGAAATGGGGGAGGAGGAGAGACTGCGTACACTCCAAATGGGAGAGGGAACGCGGGGCTGTACCTTCCACTCCATCGCCAAGAAAAGTTGACGCCGAGTTTTTTTTTTTTTAATAGCTAACTCGGGCGGCGCTCCGGCGGTGGTAGCATGCGACTCGTCGCTCGGCGGGGCGGGAGGCAAGCAAGAATGCCGTGGTCGAAGCCTCCAGAATAGAGCCAGGACCAGAGTTCAGTTTGCCAATGAGTCCGGAACCGCACCTTCCAGCCGTTATCGGCTGCGAGAAGTAACGGGACGTCCGATTCCCCTCGGGCAGCACCCGGTCGCTGGTGGTGTGACCCCCCCTCCCCCCCCCCCCCCCCCCCCCCAACTCGACGAGGTGGGCGAGTCCAGCTGGAATGCCGTGTTCGGAAGTCTCCCAAATGAAGTCACGACGAGACATAGAACATCACATACGCGTAGTCGCGAATATACCTGAGCGTGCCCGCCGGATAGCAATATATAACACCTAAGAACGGTCGGGTTGCTTTTCGTGTTGAGGGAGCTTCGTAGGGCGCGGCGGTCTTCCTTCTGCAAAAGGCACGCCGAAAGCGCCCCAAAAAGGTTGGTAATTTATAAAGCATGTCGATTGTGGCGCGCCCCCGACCAGCCGTGGGTGCGCCTCCATCACTGGAGATATGCCACAGTACCTTGGCGTGTCTTATCGGCGCCTAATATGACATTTTCACGAAGTGTGTAAATGGAAACATTTTTGCCCCTTGTAATGAACGCCCCCCCCCCCCCCCCCCCCCACACACACACACACACAGAATACCCAGGCAGCACACAGTATTGAGCCAGTATTGGCGTTGGATCGGAGAAATTGGGTCAATGTCATTCTGATACTGCCGATATTGGCGCTGGATCGTAAAGATCGGGCCAGTATTAATGTGATGTGGCCGATGTCAGAGGAACATCACTTGAATCGGCCTACGCCACGCTGATATACCGTATCCAGCACCGTTTTCTGGTAATTTGTCGGGTCTGAACCGGCTATATCGCCCGGTATTAGGGATTCTTCACCGTTTCTAAAACGATACCGAATCGGTCATTCGTGCGGGCCAATCGCGGAGGCCGCCGCTGTTGCCAGGGGCCGCGCCGAGGGCGCGCCGGGCAATCAGAGGCTGGAACTGGGTTTTTCCGTGCAAACAGACGGAAAAAAACACTTTTTGTAGTAACTTTTATTGGATAGTAGTACAAAAAGGGGGTGGCGCGTGATGTTTTCTAAAATCTTTAGTCTGCAAGGCTTTGCAGTGCAATTAATATTGTTGTTATACAACCATGCCTCAGCGGGGATTTCAGGTACCGCGCCCCGACCTAGGCGCGTCTTAACCTCGAAAGGAATCCGCGGCACGTACGCCGCGGACACGGGAATGGCACCGCTGAACACGCCCCCCCCCCCCCCCCCCCCCCAGTATCTGGTTCCTGTGCACACGCAGTGCCCACACCACACGGGGACTTGTTTGTCAGCGGTGTGTCGGTGAGACCTCTTTCAAAACAAGTTAGCTTTTGCCCAAACCAGGGGTGGGCACTGCGCGTGTGCAGGAACCAGATCCGCGTCAGTCTCTGCGATTGTGCTGTTACGACAGCAGTGCCACTACAGCTGCGTGACGTCATAGCCGAATGTTGGGGTATAGGAAAGGGCTGTTAGTGCGTGAGGTGATCAATGACGGTGGTGGTCGTCAAGCGCACCGTAGAACTCTGTGAGACTGTGCTAGGTCTTAAATAGCCTTGGAAGGTGTGATATAATGCTAGTAAAAGAACGAGCGTGACATCAGCGCAAAGAAACGATTGAGCAACAGAAAATTTAGGCATTCGTTCTTGCTAAGAACTATAAAATATATTTAGGCAAGAAATATTTTCCAAAATAAAACCCTCGAGAATTTTCGAGCCCAGGAGTTTTCACCTCTCGAATACCTACCGCTTTCGAGCTTGTCAAATTACTCAATTCACCTAACACCAGTAGAATGGACAATATAAAAAGAGCGCCACATATTTTCGCCTTATGTCACCCCCGTCTACGCAATGTATCACTAACTTGGTAACATTGTGAATGTTTTCTACAATATTGCACGTTATTATGCCAAACTCAGGTTTTTAGTAATATCAAAAGTAAATAATTAGTTTTCGCATTTAAAAAAATAGAAAGTTGCCTTATATTATCTAAAATATCTCATTTGCATTTGATTGTCCGCAAGACTTACCTTAGATCCACTAAGTTTGCAAAATAAAGACAACATCGGTTCAGTAAAACCCAAGCAGTGAAAACGAGATTTAATCCCAGATGAAAATCCCTCTGAAAAAGAAATTGTTTTTGAATGTACAGAAAGGCAAGGTGATTAGTGTGAGCTTTAGTATTGCGTAAACAGCAAACGCAAGCACTGATAGTAATCTCTGGAGAAGGGGAACAAGGGCGACAAAGGACAAGCACTAATCTCCAAGAACAGAAAAACAGAAACAAAAGAGAAGCAGAAATCTCTAAACTGTGTTTGGAGATCTTTGATTATTCTTTGTCCCCCTCCTCCAGAGATTATTATCGTTAGTCTTGTCCAGCTCCCTTGCACAATTCCATTAATTGCATTACATTAGCACGCACTGTGAGTTTGCGAAAGCATCGCGTAAATGGTCGTATCTTTGTAAGATCGTAGGCAGAAGTTCGGCTAATTAAAATTTGATTTCAAGTTCTACTTTTGTCAATAATTTTTATTAGGAACAACAATAATCATTTCAAGTTATCCAACAAAACATTTTAATGGCAGGTGTGCAAATTGGTCCATCTGCACAAAACATTCGATGATATTGATAAACATCATCACCAGTTATTTTTCGCACTAAATATTAGCTGCATTTTTAATAACGAATTGATTAACCCACCCTGAAGCTTGCAAAAACCGCATTACCCCGAGGGGCCACGACCGCTTCATTTGCGACATCAAGAATATAAAATTTCTCGAACGCAAGTGATAGACAAAAGGTTAGCAGTTCAACTGTGTAGGGTGTATGACACTCATAAAGGTGCCCTGAGGAGGTTTCTGAGATCGCATGAATATGGCGACAACTCACTCTGCTTGCTCTAAGTATCCTAGAAATCCCTTAATCATTACAATACACGGCCGATTTCCCTATGAAAAATGCAATCAATAATTACAACAGACAAAGGACATCTCTGGCGATTGGAGTAACATGTTCCGAAGCCAGGATCAATGTCAGCCATTAGGAAGCGAAGGATTCTGGCGCCTCCGACCGGTGGAACCGCGGAGTGATATCTTGAATGCGCGCGGTTCGTTGCCCATACAACCCGGACTACGATTCAATCTTGCGAGCACGCGCTCAAAAGCTGACGACCGGACACATCACTCCCGTGGAATATAATAAATAGTGCGCTCTTTTTGAGACGATTATCGCAGTATTACGTTCCCTCTCCGCGAAACACGAAACAAATATTTTGGACTGCGTTTTGTATGCTTTTATAATCTACAAAGGCATACACTCTTTCTAATAACAGCGTTTGCAATCTCAACGAAATATCACGTTCTTATTGGTCAGATGTCGTCCCGGCCTTCGGCTTTTTAGAGCGCAGCACTTAGGCGCCCGTTTCCGGGTTGAGCGCCATCGGCATCGGCGTGACCGCGCTAAATTTATGGGACAATTGACGTCACGTGACCTCAGCACCAATTCTATTCCCGCTAAATTTAGCGGGAAATTCAGTTTTTCCGCCAGATTTAGCGGACAAATTCAATTTCGCCGCTAGATTTATCGAGAAAACTGGCTTCACGTGACCTCTACACCAATTCAATTCCCCGATAAATGGAGGTCATCTGATGACGTCAAGTGACGCCAATATTCCCGCTAAATCTAGTGGAGAAACTGAATTTGTTCATAGGTGACGTGACACCAAGTCATGTGACGTCATCTTCCCCGCTAAACTTAGCGGGGAAACTGATTTGGAGAAGGAGAGTAGAGTAGGGAATAGAGGAGGAGAGGAGAAGGGGAGGAAGGAGTACGGAGTAGGACGATTGGCATACCCTCCCCTCCGTACCCTCCCCTACAACTCCTCAAGAGCTGCGCTCTAATGTTGTATTACAGAGATTTTTAAGCGTTTTTCATTTTAAATGGGGAAACCGACCGCGCATCGTTATGATTTACAGATTTCTAGGAGGCTTCGAGCGTATAAAGTGAGTTAACGCCAGATAGAGGCGATCTCAAAAAAACTCCTCGGAGCACTTTTAAATGGTATACGATGCGCTGACCTCTTTTTGGGTCAGATAGGTATTAAAACTACTTGTGAGGACCTCGTCAGACACCTTACTTTTTAAAGCATTGGTTGCAATATCAAACGACGTTCACAGAGCACCGGTGGCATCCAATCACAGGAGTTTTTTTTTTTTTTTCTTTAAAGGAAAACTAGCAAAAAGATTTCGAGAGAAATCAGAAAGACCATATTATGCTTGTTAAATAGGTACATAATTAATCAAACTTACCGCCTTGAAATGCCGGTAGAATAAGCACCACGGCAAAAAGTACGAGCAGCATGTTGCTGATATTGCGATACATAATCAGTCTAACAAGAACGTCCTCCTAAAAGAGAAATAATAACATAAATATAGCCTCGAAACTCGACACCGCAATTTTGTTCTTGGAATGTGGAAGCACCGGGTTCAAAGGAAAGCTTCTGCGAAACATGAATAAATGGTCATCGATTTTTATAAACATTCACCGTGTACAAAATATTTACCCCTGAATAATTCTGCGAAATATCTCAACATTTTTATTTTGTTTCGATAAGACAAATTTTAAAGCTTACACGTCATGATCACTAACTGTGGCTCTACTGGCAACACTAAGCAGCGGTGGCATTGATTTTTGACGTCAAACGTTGTATCCAAGAGTAGACCCCTCCTCCTCGTTGTGCGTTGTAGCCATCGGAAGTGTGCGACAACACAGTGGCGTCAGAGCGCAGCTCCTCGCAAAAGGATTTCGTATTCAACGCAATTGACTGGCATCGATATTCCGTGTAGCAGCAAACTTAGTTTCTAAGATTGGCTTACCTTAGCACAGCGCTACGTTCAGGGCCGAACACGGCGCAAACTTTTTTACACGAGACCTGGAACTTGAGAACACAGATGCCTTCCAGGCGCCGGCAAAAACCGTGTCCAGCATCTCAATTCCAGCACGTTTACGCAATCCGCCGGCAAGTGAAGAGCAATTAAATACTAAGAGGAGCGAAAAATGGTTCTCATGTAAACTTTATCAATTACTGGTTCTCATGAACGTCGTCCCGTAGGGATTTCCAGAGCACCGCGAACACGAACGTTTTCCAGTGGCTTATTCCAGAGCAGATAATAGAAAAAGAAGGGGACCTGTTGCCGCCGTTGCCGCTTTCAACTGCAGGACACACAACTGAACCCGAGCTCCGTGTAACTCCTGCGGGTCTAACGAAGTGAAAACCCACACAGAGAATGCTGGACGCGAGCAGGTTTTATAATTTCAGGATGTCACACCTTCCCTCCGGAGCGAGGACGAGAAACACGGCCATGGGAAGGCGGAGACTCCTTGAAGATGCTGCGGGGAGAGGTCCAAGATCTACAGCCTCACTAAACGCTGACGTTGTTTTTGGTGGCGCTGCCAACCACTGGCTTCCCGTATGTCTTCCCGTGTCCCGTCTAGGTGTCGCACGCTCTCAGTATTGAGCTCATGCTAGCTTTGCCTGCTGTGTCTGGTATGCGATGGACAGAAAGGGGAAAGGGGGGGGGGGGAGTTGGCACTCTGCTAGGTAGTGCAACAACACAAAAATAAAATGGAGCAGAGTGACATATCACCGGTTTCCGACCGGCATATGTATCAGATGGAAGTAGGCATGGCCAGTGCGACGCGAACGCCGCTTCTCAGCGTTCGCGTAGACAGTTCGCACCGGGTTAGCCAACAAAACCTGCGATAATTCTACTCGAGAGGCGGCACCTGGGCCCGCATGGCGTCGAATCGCAAATGCGATCTTAAAAAAAAAATCTGCAAATAAAGAAAAAAAATATGAAACAGCCTGAATGGGTGAAGTACGTCTTAAAATAAAGTACAAACAAACAAAAAAAATTATAGAGCCATGTTTACCGCGCGAAACGAATTTGTAGTTTGGGTGCGCGGGAGCCGCCACATATCACTAGGTAAACCTTTGCGACGACACGCTGCGCCGCAGCCGCCGCAAGTTATGTCGGAGCCGTTCAGCCCTCCGCTGAAGTCCCCAGAACCACAACCCCTCGCCGCCGCCGCACGCTGAGCATGGCGCGCCGCCGGCTGAACGCGTTTCGCCGCGCCGCCGCCGGAAGGGAACACTCCGACGAGCCGCCGCCGCCAATTTCTTACAGGCGTACAGGTCTATCACGTGATGCTTGCGCCCTTTTCAAGAAAGTTTAATAAGTAACTTTTAGAGCCCGGAGGGAGCTCTGGAAAGAGCGCAAGCACCACGTGACTATAGTTACCAGTCACGTGACTGTAGTAGTCACTTCAGTCATGACAGCTTGGTTTAAAAAAAGAAACAAGGCCCAGAAAGACCGAAGCATGTTTGTAATATTTTACGACGTGTATTTTTGTCAGAATGTCAACCAGAATATTGAATGCGTATTTTTTTAAGCCAGAAAAAAACCAAAGAAATATTGAGAGGGGACTTGCAAAATAAACAGCAAACAAAATTTCAGTTGCAACATGGATTTTCTAATGCTTTGACCTACCACTTTCGTAAATGTAATTTTTTTTTTTAAGTGCTATACTTTATTATATGTTCTACAGGACAAAACGGGACATGTACAGATTACCGCCAAAATAAATTAATACCGTTACTGGTTACTTGCTGAAAAAATAACTAAATACGTTACTTGTTTTATGATTTTCAAAAGGAACGCGTTAGTTTACCTCCAAAGTAGCGAGTTACTTTTCTCGTTACTTTGACAACGAAATACACAACTACTTTTGTATCATGGTTCGTTTCATGGTTCGTTGTTTTATACTTGGTAGTCATTACTTAAATAGTTGCGTCTCGAAGTTTCCATCAGGTATTGTTCCCGGCTTCCTTCACAATTAGCGGCGAGATGTTTTGGTGGCGCCCTGCTATGGTTCCCCCTTGTGACGTCATTACCTTGCAAACAACAAGTTCGATGGTGTTTGTAAATAGCATGGTGGAAGCTTGAAATCATTGAGCTTTTAAAGCAACACTGCCAACACCGTCAAACTTAAAGTTCTTTCATTCCTCTTATTTCCGTCGATGATAAATCCCCTTTCCTACGTCATAGTTAGCGTTCGGCCAATCGTGGAAGGCCGACCACAGCGACGCTTTCGGTCGCGCACGGGGCTAATAGATTTCCGGCGACGCTAAAGAGTGGTTCTACTGACGCGTTCGAAGGAACGGCATTGTCCTGCTTCAGGAAGAGCAGGTGAAACTGGGATTCTCCTTTCACTTTTGTTCTCTGTGCTTGTAAAGTTCGAAGTGGACTTCTGTGCCTTCCCGCGTTGGAAACCTCCGGGTTTACATTCAGTCTGTACACAAATCTAGAAGGTTTAACCAACCGCCCTTATTTTGTTCGCTGGGAGATGAACACTCCCAGCTGCAGAGTTCGACTGACGTGTTCCGCCATAAACGTTGCTATACCTTCATAATGTTTAATTGTTTTGGGGGTTGCCCACTTTCCCTTATCCCAATGAACAGATACTCAGGTTAGAATTGAAACCAGACTGTTTAAACGTTGTTGTACACGTTACTGCTCAAAAGTAAAGATATATTGCTACTCATTACTTGGCTTTAAAAGCAACAAAGTACGTTACTCTTTCCTTTTCTAAAAAAAGTAACTAAATATATTACTTCTTACCGAAAAAAAGTAACTAGGTAGAAGCAAGTCGTTACTAGTGACGCATTGCGTACATATCTGGACCAAACACCCGAGAAAGCAGGTAAAAAACGAAACAAAGACTGAAATGCCCGAAGTTTGTGTCGGCTTTTTTACCTTCAGTATCGTTTTTTATTCATCATGAAAGCTTGTTTGCGCACTTCCATTCAGTTCATTAATATGGGTTCCCTTTCTATTTCCTCAGCTATCTGAGAGAACCCCCTAAAAAGATATAGCGCGTGAGTACGCATACGTTATTGCTAATTTCAAAACATAATTTGTTTTTTTAATTCTTGGAAAGGCCGAAATAGCCCCCAGGAATAATATAACAACGTAGTTTGAAGAGCCCACCCACAGCAGTCCGTTATTAAAAAAAAAAGAGTGCTATGAATACCACGAGCACACATTGAACTCTAGGCAGCTCTAACAGCGCGGCATTGGGACGAAAACTAAAACAAAAGCGTTGCAATATCGAGGAGAACTTACGTAAAACTTTCTTGCTTCAAGAATCTTGAAGTGGCGATTTCTAGCCTGAGATGGGGAAAGATTGCTGGCTTATTTATATCCCAGGTTGTAGGCGTGTTCCTCGCAACAGGCAGTTCCGAGAGAATTTTCCCGCCAATGTTAGCTTTGGAAGCAGGTGGGAGGAGACAAAAACTGCAGCTTAAACTTGACCCTTACACTTGATTCGAAGAGCGTTTTGCCGCCCTTGAAAAGAAAAATACACCAATGTGCGTCAAAGAATTTTTTTTTTACCGCAGTTTGCATTCGTGTAAATTTCTTAAACCATGTTTAATTCTTCGACTATCTTTCGAAACAAGAGTATGGCACAGCTCTGAAAGATAATATTCTACCTTGTGTACACCACGTAGAGGCGAAGACTATGCAGGGATTTGTCTTACAGAACTGTTAGGTAACGCCTGAGAGGCCCAGCGTAGTCTTCAAGATATAATAAAAAAGATAATAAATAAAATAAATAAAAATAACGCAGGGCAGTCAAGTGTGTTCCCCTTCGAGTTCCATTACAGCCGTCGACGCTACGACCATATGTACCCAATCACACAGCGCCGAAAGTGCATCGTCACGGCGCCTATCGTTCTTACGGGTTTGTTATAAACGACAAGACCAATCACGCGGAGTGAATGCCGCCCCGATGCTGCGCTTATTTCGGGCCGAGATCGATTTGCCCGCTGACAGCAAATCCACGAAAACAACGAGAGCAGTGATCGTGCGATTTTGGCGTTGCTCGATTGGCTCCCTAAAATCGTAGCATCGGCTGCAGTCGGACCTAAAATAAAATGGAGTATAGGGTGTTTTCACTTCACGTCCATCCGCCATTTTGTTGTTAGTTTCCTTTTTCAAACAAATTTACTAATTTGAAGGATTACGTCGCAACCTGTTGAGGAGATGTCAGCGAGGTAAGATAAGCTTCGATGCTCTACGCCAGTGGCTCTCAACCATTGATGATTCGCGGACGCCTTGTTGATCGGTGGAGACGATGAATGGCTCCGTTCGTGTTAAGGGGAAGGGAAAAGTAAAGGCTAATTATGACAATGATTTAACAAATGAATATTACTAAGGGGTGGTGTGAAGTAGACTTTTCTCATTGACATACACGAGAAAACTCACCCTAAAATCAGAACGCTTCTTCTCAATCGGATAAAAGACAACTTTTATTGCCGG